GTGAAATCTGTTTTAGAAGGCCTTTTATGATCTCTTATACTAGATTAAGTTCACTTATTTTGTGCTCCTGTCACCTTACAGTTTTTTTGTTTTTTTTTTTTTGCTATAGGGCGCGTGCGCTCGCCAGACAGACAGAGAGAGACAGAGAGACAGAAAGCGAGAAATCACACACACACCCCCAGGGGGGATGGCCATGCCGCAATCCCTTCTCCTCCGTTCTCCTCTCGTGATCTTGGGCACTCGCGCACACGTGCCCGGTGTGAGTTTAAGCCACCGGGTCCGGGACGTGAATTGCGGTCGACTACATGGGAGTCCAGCCATTACGCTAACTGCTGGTCCCACCTTACAGTTTTAACATTAGAAACACTTAGATTGTTCGCTATGTTGATTACTAGACTGTAAGCTCTGTGGACACGTACCATATTATCTGTTTCTTGCAATGCTTAACCCATTGGGTGCTTTTTATAAATGATTGAATGAACCTGTTCCCTCATTGAGAAACTTCATTCTTTCAAGGTCCATCCTTACATTTTTCATTTCTCATGGAAGTTTTCCTTCCGTGAACACAAATTCCTTTGTCATCTTAATATCATTGTCCCTCTTAGGGATTTTGTTAATTTTAGAATCCTTTTCTTCTTTGTCTTACCTTTTCATCCTCTCCCTCTATCGACTTTTTCTTTATTAAAGCTTCTCTAATCTTAAAATTCCCCAAGCTGACCTTTAGCTCCCTCTAGTTACTAAGTAGTGTTCTGGAAATTATCTTGACATAAATCTATTTCTTCATCATCTTTTAATTCTTTAGCCTCATTGTAATCTGTCTTGTCCCTACCATTCAACCAAAGCTGCTCTAAGGAAGGCTGTCAAAGATTTTGCAAGTGCTAGCTGGAGAGAGAGAGAGACAGTGAGAGGGAAAATGAGAAACCACCCTCTGGGAATGGCCACACCACAATCCTGTCTCCATTCTCCTCCTGGAAGCTTTGGGCAAGTATGCATATATGCCCATTGTGATTTTTAAGCAACTGGGTTGAGGACTCAAACTGCGGTCAGCCATGTGGGAGTCCAGTGCCTTAACCACGCCACCTGATGGCCCCCACTTTCTTGATTTTATGACAGGACTTTCTCCAGGTTATTCTCTATGACTGGTTATTCCCTCTTCCAGAGTCCCTTATCTGTCATTCCTCAAGCTTTGATGTTCATTCATGCTCTATATTTAGTCCTATCCTCTTTACTGAAACAACTTTTCCTATACTTTTATCACGGTAAATAGTACCTTTCTTTCTAACTTTCTCACTAAAGAAACATGACTCAACTTGATTCTTCTTTTTCCATATTCTCCCCAGGCAAGTCCTAGTAATATTCTTTGGTACTTATCAATTCCTCCATCTGTACTGTCATAGCCTCTGGTGAAGTCCTTTGATGTCATTTAGCCAGAATGATCCAACTAGCCTAACCCATCTTGCCTCTCTCCAAACTCTCCCATATTCTAATTTTTTTGAAACAAAAATCTAATGATCATTCATCCACCTATAACTTGGCGGCTGTCCTGTCCTGAAAACAAAATCCAACTCCGTAGCACAGTATTTAAGGACCCTAACTAACCCTTTACTATTTATATTTCACTCTTAATGAGTTTCCAGAGTTTTTAAAGTGTCATACTCTCCTACATCTTCCTGGACTCTATCTAATCCCCCAAAGACACTTGTTTGTTAATCTCCTCATCCAAATGCCAGCTCAGACACTAATTTTTTTGACCTATTTATTTCTTTTACAAGAGACACAGGAAGAGACAGCACCTCCAACAGGGTCCTGATGTCATGATCTACTGGCAGCCTTCAGCCAGCCCTGCATCACATGCAAACGTGTACCTGGCATTCTCTGAGAGATCTCTAGACTTGAACTGGGAACCTTCCCATGTGGGATTGCCGCACAGAGTACGTTTTTCTGCTGTGCTACCATCTGGACCCTCTCCATGTTTTATCAGATGTTTCTGCTGACTTTCAATTAATTTGGGACTAAAATTTTTAAAGTATTAGTCGTTCAGGTTGACATGTATTGAAAAATAGTTATTATGGTGATTTGCAATGTTAACCATGGTTAGGCTAAGCTTCATTTTCCAGAATTCTCTTCCATGAATGTCTGGTTAAGATGGAACCCCAGACTATTTTTTTTTAAATTTTGTCAGCGGGCATGTGCACTCACTAAAGAAAGCACCTCCCCTACATGCAGAATGGTCACACCACAAGCCCTTTGCCTCCATTTCTCCTTTTTTGGAAAGTTTGGATACACATGTTTACATGCTTGATGTGTTTCTCAAGCCACTGGGTCCAGGACTCAAATCGTGAAGTCAGCCATATGGAATTCAGTCACCTTAACCACCATGCAATGTGTTGGCCCCACAAAACTCTCGAGCAAGATTTGAAGCAGCAATTTTGTAGTTCATACATGTTGTGATGGCTCATCAACTATAGCTGGGCAACTTCCCAGTCATTCCTTGGACTGTCCTTCCATTTCTCTAATCTTCACATCAGATGTTTGTGATGAAGAACCAGGGTTATACAAAACTACCACACCATTGAGTCAGATTGTAAAAGCCCACATGGGTTTTAGTCTGCTTGTGGTTTGCAACTGTTCCTGTCCACTTTACATTCAATCCCCCTCCTTAACTGCCTAACCTATGAACTTCAAGTTCCAGCATCAGAAAGGTAAACAGACTTAGATTTTAGCTCCCACAATAAAGTTAAGTCCCTTATACAGTGAGTCATTGGGAAAGCCATGAACACACCTTTGCATAGAAAAACATTAAAAAAACCAAGTCATGACTTTCTGGATGACCCATTCTAGTAATTCTGATTCACACAAAAAAGGAGGCTGGTGAGACTACTTAACATGGTGATTGCCCTACATTCAAAGCACCCTGAGACAGTCTATATCATTATATAATCTGTCTTCCTAGATTTTTCTCTTTGAGGCAGACTTTTATCTTTGTACGACCAGTGCTATACACTGCTTAGTATGAACTAGGTATTTTATACTATTTTAAAACTAAATTAATTAGAGAGTCCTCTGCAGATTCAATCAAAATTTCTCCTAAGTAACAAGGGAGTGTAATGGCTAAGGTTTTGTACCCACTCCCATGTGGCCAACTGTGGTTCAAGTCCCAGACCTGGCAGCTTGAAACTCACAGCAGGTACATGTGTGTGCATGCCCAAAATCCTGAGAGAATAAAGAAGGGACTGCTGCATGGCCATCCCCCCAGGAAGTGATTTCTTGCTTCTGTCTTTGTTTCCCCAGCAAATACATGTGCCCTATAGCAAAAATCTCTTAAAAAAAAAAAGTAACAACAAAGATGTTAATCTGATTTCTGTATTAGATTAATACACTAGCTATCAATAAATACTGACCCAAATGATTGTTACATAAATTTAATCTTTAGAAGTCAATGAAAATAACAATTACCCATATGACACATATTTTCAAATTATTTCCTACTATATATATTATCCATTTTAATACAGGTAAATCCTTGTTAGTGTGAGAATTAAATGCAGACAAATCTATTGAGGGAAGAACTGTCTGATTTATCTTTTTTTTCTTCAATTTCTTTTACTGCAGTGTTACAGAATTTATGAATACAATTTACTACCAGAACCATTTTTAAGTGTTTTAGTATTAAATACATTCCTAACGCTGTACAAATATCGCCACTATTCATATCCATAACTCATTTTGTGACTGAAACTTCATATCCATAAAAGAACTTTTTCCCATCTCCCCCATCTCACAGGCCCTGGCAACTACTTTTTTTTTTTTGAGAGATTTTTGCTATAAGGTGTGTGTGCTCACTGGAGACAGAGAGAAATTACCACTCCCAAGGGGGATGGCCACACCAGAATCTCTTCTCCTCCATTTTCCTCTCAGGATTTTGGGCACACACGCACATGTACCTGGCATGAGTTTGAAGCTGACTGGTCTGGGACTTGAATAAGTCAACTACATGGGAGTCCAATGACATAAACTTTATGGCATCTGCTGGTCCCATCTCTATGATTCTGACTATACCTTACATAAGTAGACTCCTATTTGGCTCTTTTGTGACTGGCTAATTTCATTTAGTATGTCTTTAGGTTCATACATCTTATAACAAGTATGAGTTTCCTTTCTTGTAAAGGTTGAAAGGCTGAATAATCCACTGTATGGACAGACTACAATTTGCTATTCACCTATTGATGGACACTTGAGCTGCTTCCATGTTTTAGCTACTGTGATAATGCTACTACGAACATACGTAGATAAATATTTCAAAACCCTGCTTTTAGTTCATTTGAATATAAACCTAAAGTGTTAATTTTATGCTTTTTTTGAGGAACCATCACTATTTTCTCACAATGGCTGTACCATTTCATATTTTCACCAATGGTATACATTATTGGCCTCAATTTCTTTTCATCCTCACCAACACATATCTTCTGTTACCAGCTAGATTCTTTTTTTTTTTTTTTTTAAGAGAGGTTTTTCCTCTACAGCACGTGGGCTCACCAGAAAGATGGAGACAGACAGAGAGATAGAAAACAAGAAATTACCCCCCTGGGGGATGGCCATACCACAATCCCTTCTCCTCTCCAGATCTTGGGCATGTATGCACACACACCCAGCCTGAGTTTAAGCAGCCGGGTCCAGGACTCAAACTATGTGGGAGTCCAACAATATAACCATTAGGCCACCTGTTGGTCCCTGACTAGATTCTTTTTTATGATACACTGAGTCCATGTTTCCTATATTCATACTAAAAAAGTAATAAAGTCAATAAGATGATTTGATATAAAATGTTTCCTTTTGTAATTTTAAGAACACTGAAAAGCTTTTTATTTTCCAAAACTTATCTGTAACTAGAAATAGCTAACTAAATGGTCCAAAAAAACAAGATATTAGTTTAATGACATCTTTAATTTTTACCCATATGACAAATACTGAAATATTTCAGAAACTTATGCAACTTGAAAAACCTTGCTTAAATTATCACTTTATTTCATGATGGTAAAATTAATTACAAATTTAAGTTATTATTTGGTAATCTTCAGTCAAGGAGCAAGTCTTATTAAAAGCAAACTGCCTGTTTCAAAAGTGATCATGGAACAACTCAGAATGCAGAGTAAAAAGAATGAGAAACCTCTCACTGGCCAATAAGACTTAGTTCACTATATGGAACTCAAACTTCTCATTTTTAGGACAGATGAACTGTAACTTCAGGAGACAGCAATATACAAAGATTTTGCCACATAGATGGATTTCTAAACAACTGTTTCTAGCTGTCTAATGGGGATAGAAACATTCACAGAACTGGCTGTGCCTGGGCCTTCTTTGCCAACAGCTTCAGATCTGCAATGCACTTGGCGATTGTCTCCTTTTCCTGTGATAAGAAAAGAGAAATCTGGTTAGACCTTCCCAAAATTGGATGGGCATAAAACACTAATTCTAAACAGCACTTCCTATCGGACCAGGACCTCATAATGAGTTTATTACTGGTTCAATGTAAGACTACTATCATAGAAGGCTTCAAAGTAAATAATATAAAGAAGATGTGATTTATTTTCGGCAAATACAGAATGAGTTAAAATCCCTGGCTCACAACTTTTATGAGTGAAACCTGTATAGAATCTGAGGCCAGGTACTTCTGTAGCCATTTGCCACAGAAACTGGCTTGTATAGCTGGCAGCTGCTTGAAAATGATCGGCTCAACAAGTTTGAGTAATAATGAAATGTTAAGAATAAAAACAATCTTAGTCTCTTCTATATATTTTTTCTGTATTTTTTAAAGTTTCTTAAAATAGACCAACCTTTGATAGACCCTGTTTTCCTAATCCTATATTGGTTAACAGAAAATGATCAGAAATGCCTAAGTATGCTACACATCTAGGAAAGAAGAAATTAAGTTGTAAGAAATAATTTTTAAAAATTCAGTTAAAGCAAATACAGAAAAAATTCTGTTCAAGACAGATGAAATTAAAACAGTTGGGAACAGAAAATAGGATAGACATCACAGAATTAGAAAATGGAAGGAGCTTATGTTTTATAAAGAACTTAAATATGTTGGTTAATGTTACTCAAATGATAAAAAGTTGACCAAAACCAGTATTTTCAACAATATTTCCATTGTGAGGTGGCAGAGATCCTTTAGTAACCAAACAATGAAGACAGAGGAAAGCCAGATGGCAGTTGTGCAGCAACTTCTAGGTTACTACTATCCCCCCAAAAATAATAATGATGATGATGATGGTGATGATGCAAGGTCACCTGCTGCAGACTCCCTATTACTATCATTTTTTTTAAAAGAGAGATTTCTGCTATTGAGTGTGTGCTTGCCAGAGAACAGAGACAGAAAGACAGAAAGTGAGAAATCACCCCCCAAGGGTGATAGCCACATCGCAATCCCTTCTCCTCTGTTTTCCTATCTTGGGTATGCATGCATGCACACACACCCAGTACGACTTTGAAAATGCTGTGTCTGGGACTTGAACTACGGCCGACTATGTGGGAGTCCAGTGATGTAACCACTACACCACCTGCTGGTCCCCCCAACTATTGCTATTTTAACAAAGCATCAGTGGAGGCTTATCAGAGATGGCTACAACTCCAGAAGCTACAAATAAAACTGTATACCTGCTGAGCGGAGATGCTCTGCACCACATGCTTCTCCACCCAGTTGATCATGTGCTCTTGTTCCTTTCGAACCATCATATTCTGCACGGAAATGTGATAGTCCAAGCGGTTCTTTACCTCCTTATACACTTTGTGAAGTCGTTCCCGGTAAGTAACCTCCAAGGCCATAGCAATATTGTTCTGAGGCAAAATTTCAAGAAAGGATGAATACTGTTTGCATACTTGAAAGCACCTTCCCACATTTCTTGGATTTAATTGTAAGTATATACATACACACACACTTTTATTACAACATGCAAACTCACCTTAATTTAAAAACTTACTGGATTCCACTATTACGAATGCATTATTCACTTGACCAAATTCTCTTGATAAATTAGGTTGTTTCCAATTTTTCTTCTATTATAAATAATGCTGCATATGTTGTATATTTGTCTTGTACTTATGTATGAATACTGGCTCAAATATTAACTAGTATCTGCTGAGTACCTACCATGCTCTAAACATGCCTATGTCTGTCAATTCAATTAAATTTTGTGACTATCCCATGGAAGTTACTACTGTAACCATTTTAATTAAAACAAACAAACAAAAAAACCCTAAAAAAGCCAAAAAAACCACCAGAGGGAGAAGTTAAGGAACTTGCCCAAGGTTAGAGCACTAATAAACTGTGAAGCCAAGATGTGAATATAGGCAGCCAGGTTACAAAGTCCATGCTCTTAGCACTACTACTTGGCTAACAGGCATCTTAAAACAACCCATGCAAAACTGATAGCTATTTGTGACAAAGTAAGTCAGAATGATTTTTCTAAATGTGAGATCATATTACTCTTTTTTTTTTTTTTTGAGAGGTTTTCACTATGAGGCGCGTGCACTCGCCAAACAGACAGAGAGACATAGAGACAGAAAGCGAGAAATCACCCCCCAGGGGGGATGGTCACGACACAATCCCTTCTCCTCCATTCTCCTCTCGGGATCTTGGGCACGCACGCATACGCGCCTGGCGTGTGTTTTTAAGCCACCGGGTCCGGGACGTGAAACGCGGTCGACTACGTGGGAGTCCAGCGACATAGCCATTATGCTAACTGCTGGTTCCCCATATTACTCTTTTCTTAAAAGCCTCCAATGACTTTCTCCCATTCAGAGTACAAGTCAAAGCCCTTAAGTCCATAAGATTTTACATACTCTAGTCCCTGGCCACCCTCTACCTGCTTCCTTTCATTCTTCCTTTACCTACTCCACTTCACGTGTGTTAGCCTCCTTACTTTCCTTAACTATGATAAGAAAACTTACAAGTTTACAGCCCTTGCAACTGTTCTTCCCTCTGTCTGAAATATTTCTTCAAAAATCATAATCACTTCTTTTAGGTCTCTGCTTAAATACTGCATTAGAGACCTTTCCTGACCACTTTATAAAGTACCTCCCTTTTCCCCTTTAACACTCATTTACTGTTCTGCATGCAGACACTCATATCTGCTCATTTATTTTCTATTCTCCTAATGCCTGTTTAGAAAATAAAACTCCATGAAGGCAGAAGTTGTGTTTTGTCCTTTACTATCTTTTGAGTACCATGCCTTGTCTAGAGCATCCACATGGGAAGAACTCAGTAGCTATGAAACAAACATTTCTTAAACAAAAGCTTCAATGACTATCATTTGGCTCTTATGAAAAATCTGTATCTTCCAATTTGGTTAAAAGAAAGAAAGAAAAAAGACCCTGAGAGAGAATGTCAGAATTTACATGCATGGGTGTGTATGTATAGTATGCATGAGGCAAGAAGCATTTTCTAATTGTAATCTAAATATGCATGGAAAGAGGCTTTGACATTTTCTCAGACTTTCTTATCTGTCAGAGGACACACATCTTGTCGGAGAGGGAGAAGAGGAAGAAAGCACCTCCCAACGAGGCATGGTCACACTGCAATCTCTTTTACCTCTATCCTGTCAGGATTTTGGGCGCACACATACCAGGCAAGTTTTTCTTTTTTATTTTTTTGGAGAGGTTTTTGCTATAAGGTGCATGTGCTCGCCAGAAAGACAGAGACAGACAGAGAGATAGAAAGTGAGAAATCACCCCCCGGGGGGATGGCCACACCACAATCCCTTCTCCTCCACTCTCCTCTCAGGATCTTGGGCATACACGCACATGTGCCCAGTGTGAGTTTAAGCCACCAGGTCTGGGACTCGAACCATGGTAGACTACATGGGAATTCAGTGACATAGCCATTAAGTTAACTGCTGGTCCGAACCAGGCATGTTTTTCAAGCTGCCAGAGTTAGGATTGAACCACTTGGTCAGATGATCTTGATCTTCTAACTACTACTGCTTTTTTCCTGAGATGTTCAGACGTTTGCTTAAAGATCTTTAGGGATCCCATTTAAAAGAATACAGATGCTTGGGCCAGCAGGTGGCATGGAGGTTAAAGCAGCTGGATACCACACAGATGACTAAAGTTCAAGTCCTGAACCCAGCAGATTGAAAACTATGCTGGGTGCATGCATGTGTGTGAACAAAATCCCAAAAGGAGAATGGAGGAGAAGGCATTATGTATGGCCATGCCCCCCGACCGGGGTGATTTCTCACTTTTCCTCTTTATCTCTCTGGCAAGCTTATGTGCGCTAAGGGAAACGGGAAAAACAAAACCAAAAAGGATACCAATTCTTGGATAGCCCCTAACAGAGATTCTTGAAATTAGTACCAAAACCTACACTGAAGGTGACTGCTGCACGTAGTTCTGAGACTATGCTGAGAAATACTGTCTTACGTCCTCGATATCTCTATCTCATTATTTCAGAGGTGCTTCTATTACTTCAACTTAAGAACATCTCACTTTTAAACATTAGGTGTAAAACACTGAGCTTGAAGTAAATAGTGACAAAATACTCAAACATGTTCCTAGAGATTGTTGAGGAAAGTGAATAATTCAGATTCTAATTAATCTCTGACTACGGTAAACAGCTCTACTACTATCTGAATATGCTTTGTGAATTTGTAATGTCAAGATTTCCAATTTTCTTATAGCAAATAGGTTAAGTAAGATTTTCTTATAAGCACGCATGAAATACCTGGTTATAGTCTTTCTCGGCTAGTGTGTATCATTATTTAATCTCTATAATTTAATGACTTTGCTCCTTCTGTGTGAATCCAAAATGTGTGTGTGTGTGTGTGTGTGTGTGTGTTTTACAACTTGCTTCTAATTTTACAATAATTCCAATTACCTTTCTACTTGTTGGTTCTTTACTGTCAAAATAGGTATAAATTATCACCCCACCCAAATCTTTTTTCTAAATAAAAAACACTTGGGTTGGACCTATGGCCTAGCGATTAATATGGCTTGACCATGCAATTCAAATCTTGGCGCTGGTGGTTTGAATTCGTGTGGGTGCCCCAAATCCTGAAAGGATGAGGAAATGAAGAAGGGGCTGTACTGTGACTACATCCCACAGAGGGGAGGTGCTTTCTTCTTCTGTACCTTCCAGCAAATTAAAAATAATAAATAAAATAAACTTAATCTATTTACCCATTCCTAAGACACTCTAAATTAAAAAAAAAAAATGCAGACACACGAGTAACTTCATTCTTCTTAGAAACAGAAACTTGGAAACCTACCCTCTGGACATCAAAAAGATAATGGCGCTTCTGAACCAGTGCCTGCTGCAACTTCTCCAAATCAATTGCATCCTGGATTTGTTGGATGGTATCCTGCTTTGCTGCTTCTAGTTGGGCAATTTTTTCCTACAATGATATTGACAATAAAGATCAGTGAAAACACGAAGGGTAATGAAAACAGATTCACTTTTTGCTTCCTCAAAATTATATCCCTCATTTGTGGAAATACCCACAAATAAACTTATAACCATGGAAAAGTTGGAAACTTAGTTTTAAAAAAACTAATATTAACACTTATAGGGGCTGGCAGGTGGTATGGTGGTTAAGGACGCTGGACTCCCACATGGCCAACCCTAGTTCAAGTCCTGGACCTGGCGGCTTCCTTTCTCATCACCCCCCCAACCCCCCACCCTTTCCCTCTCCGATAAAATTAAAAAAAAAAAAAACAACAAAAAAAACCCCCCACAACTTATAATTGTAATCATAATAATCACTTTCATATCTATATGTTCTTCCTCCAAATTTTTTTTTTTGAGAGGTTTTTGCTATAGGGCATGTGCGCTCGCCAGACAGACAGAGATACAGAGACAGAAAGCGAGAAATCACCCCCCAGAGGGGATGGTCATGCCGCAATCCCTTCTCCTCCATTCTCCTCTTGGGATCTTGGGCACACAGGCACACGCGCCCGGCATGAGTTTTAAGCCACCAGGTCTGGGACACGAACCGTGGTCAACTACGAGGGAGTCCAGAGACACAGCCATTATGCTAAATGCTGGTTCCCCTTCCTCCAATATTCACACAAAAATATCATTGTAAGTTTCTGCTATAGTATAAGCTAGGGAATAAGATTTATGGTTCTTACCTCATTGAGTTTATCAGCAAATTCTCCAACAGCGGCACCATATTTTTTAACTGCATAGACAAGTAACCCTACTACTGATATAGTAGAAAATGTCTCTGGGGTAATCACATATATTTCTTTGGATAGAAAATACAAGATAAGCCCAGTTCCAAGCACATAAGGTCCTAAAAGGAGAAAAAGTTTTTTATGAATGGATATGTTATGCTTAAAAGGAGTAACATAGAAAGATACTTCTATATTTGATTAGATGATGGCAAAGTTAAGTAACAATTTTAAAAAACAAGATTCAGGACAGGCAGATGACATAATGGTTACATTGCTAGACTCCCACATGGCTGACCATGGTTTGAGTCCCGGAGTTGGCAGCTTGAAACTCATGCCAGGTGCACGTGTGGGCCAAAATCCTGAAAGAAGGGAGAAGGGATTGTGGCTTGGTCAACCCCTGTGGGGGGTGATTTTTTGTTTTCTGTCTATTTCTATCTCTCCAGCAAATGTACACGCCCTATAGCAAAAATCTCTCTTTAAAAAAAAAAAAGATTCAAAGAGAAAATACTAGATCAGGAAGTGGTATGGCAGAATTGAAATAACAATGATCTGGACTCATGGAAATCTGTATTTTGACTTTATAACTTATAAGAAACGGAGCAATATGGTCTCTGAATTTAATTTCCTCACCTTTAAAATAGTAGTACTTTCTTCATAGGATTGATGAAATTAAGAAACAACATGTGTAAAGTATCCAGTACAGCAGCTCAATAAACAGAAACTACTTCATAATGACATCAAGTTTCAAATTATTTTCCTGAGAAATTTGTCCAGCCAAGTATCTCATTTATTCAATGGGAACACTGAACAGGAGAAAACTGATCTAGTTTTGCCTGTTTTTATTTAAAAGCAACTTGCTGCAGAAAACAAGCAAAAAACTCATACAGGAATACATATGTAAAAGCAAGTACTGTGTGTAGGTATCAGATTTCTCAACTCTTGTAGCAATACCTCAAATATGGGCATATTTTTACTGAACCAGGCAACGAGCTCTGAAAGGACACAAACCATGATTTACATTTTTCTTTTCTTTTTTTTTTTTAATTTTGTCAGAGTGTGCATGCAACTTGCTGGAGAGAGGGGCTGGGGAGGAGTATAAGTGACAAAGCACTCTCCTCCATGAAGAAGTCATGCTGCAATGCTGTCTCCATTTCTCTCTCCTGTCAGGAACCTGAGCGTATGTGCATTTGTGACAACATGGTTTTCCAAGCGACTGGGTCCAAGGCTTGAACCTTATACTCAGACATGCGGGATCCATCTCACATAACCACCAGGTCATGGGCTGACCCACATGATTTATGATTCTTTAGGATTCTCCTCTATGCTTTACAAGATGTTAGGCAGGGATACAAGTAGGTCTTTAGGGCAGCATTTTACAATGTTTTTGAGCAGCACTGCTACCAAAGGATGTTAGAATGTATTAGAAGAATGAAACAGTCTCAAATACATTTTACAGATTACAGTTTCCCAAAGTTTCAGCAGGTTTTTTTTTTCTTTAAATTATCTTCAATATATAAATTTACAATAGGAATTTGCAAGAAAGGCCTGTCACATGTAACACTTTCTATCAGTTATAGAGATCTGAGTATACTAAAGTTTCTTGCAATTTCAGTTAGGCCATTCCACGGTTTAAAAAAACTCTTTGGATTCAATGTTTCATAGTCACAGCAGTACTTCAGTAGAAAGTGTGAAAAAACCCTAAACTTAATTGAGAAGCGAGATTCAAGCCTAGCTCAGCCACTCAAGATAATACAATCTCAGCAAATTATTTGTTTCTAGCTTTTCCTAGTAATAAAAATGTCCCCATATGACTGTTACAAGGACTAAATAATTTAAGTAAAAATCACACTGTGTTGTAAAAACACAAGACCATGAAAGTTTACCTTCTAAATGGAGAAAGTGACAAAGATGATTTAATTTTGTTTATAATGTGCCAATGTGCACATATATATAATTTGTCTTTTTACCCTTCTTTTTATCTGTAGCTGATTTCATTTTCTGACAGTATATCATAAAATCATTCAATTATTTCTTACCTACCACCTCTCTCTCTCTCTCTCTCTCTCTATATATATATATATATATATGTAAATACTCCATTCATGATGGCAGGCACTTAATTTAGTTGATCACTATATACCTAGATCAGTGCCTGGCATAGAACAGGCATTCAAAAATTGTGGTATATCAACTAATAGGCATAAATGCTATAAAATTAAATTAAAATCCCAAACAAGTTTAGACAAAAAACATGTCAGAGCAACCAAATCAATTGTTACATTGAATCAGCTCCACAACTTCTTTTGAAAACAGCTGACTGATTTTATTGATGCCATCTAAACATATTCTCAAATTCTGGTCAAATTCTCACCTGTTACACCAGTTTTAGGATAAAGGAACTGGAAGAACTCCTCAGGGATCAGTCCAAGACGAACTTTTCCTCCATGTTCAGGAAGAGGTGGTACAGGGGCAAGACGTGGCTGTCCTGTGTGAAAGACCCTTGTTGCCTGCAACACTCTACAATAGTAATTGTACAAATTTAGAGGCCATTCTTTAAAGAGAACATGATATATGAACAATCAGCAAAAATAAAAAATGGGGATAAAGATTGAGGCAGTTTCCCACTAACTATCATAATGGAAAGTGAATGGAACAGGAAAAAAGATCAGGGGTCTAATCATTAGCTTTGCAACAAGTGTAGTAACTGAAACACAGACATTTAAAGCCACACACCACCTCCTACCCAATACTGGAATTCCTTCTGTAAGCACCACAGATCATCTATCTAGCACTTTTTGTCTATTGGCAAAGAAATATGTAAGAACCTGGACTCTACTTGGGTCTAAATCCTTGACTTGTCACTTGACTCTGAGTAAGGAACTTAACCTTTTGCAATCTCAGATTTCTCTAACTAAATGGGAATAAAAACTGTATGGAGTTGTTATGAGGACAGAGTTACTGACCGGGTCTTTAAAGAGTTCATGGAAAATGTGTTTTATGTAAAAACTGTATTGAGGCCAGCAAGTGGTGTGGAGGGTGGGGTGGCTGGATCCCACATGCCTGACTGTGCAGTGAGTCCTGGACTTAGTGGTTTGGGAATCAAGCCTGTCACATGTGCATGTATACCCAAAATCCTGAGAGGGGAATGGAGAAGAGATTGCAGTGTGACTATGTCCCCTGGAGGGGTGATTTCTCATTTTGTCTGTCTCTGGTAAGTGCACGTGCCCTATAGCAAACTAAGAAAGAATTTCAAATTATCTTGGAAGGAAATATACTCACAGGTTTTCCATGGATTTCTTTTTTCTTTTTTTGGAGAGGTTTTTGCTATAGAGCATGTGTGCTCGCCAGAGAGAGACAGAGAGACAGGAAGCGAGAAATCACCCCCCACGGGGGATGGCCATGCCATCACCCCACAGGGGGGAGGCCACGGCACAGAATCCCTTTCTCCATTCGCCTCTCGGGATCTTGGACACGCACGCACACGCGCCCGGCGTGACGCGAACTGTGGTCGACTACGTAGGAGTCCAGCAACATAGCCATTATGCTAACTGCTGGTCTCCCTTTTTTTTCTTTTTTTTTTTGAGAGTCCATGGATTTTTTTTTTTTTTTTTCGGAGAGATTTTCACTGTAGGGCGCGTGCGCTCGCCAGACAGACAGAGAGAGACATAGAGACAGAAAGCGAGAAATCACCCCCCAGGGGGGATGGTCACGCCGCAATCCCTTCTCCTCCATTCTCCTCTCGGGATCTTGGGCACGCACGCACACGCGCCCGGCGTGAGTTTTAAGCCACCAGGTCTGAGACACGAACCGCGGTCGACTGACTACGTGGGAGTCCAGCGACATAGCCATTACGCTAACTGCTGGTTCCCGAGAGTCCATGGATTTTTGAAGTCCCTTACTAAGAACTGTACTTGGCATGTGGTAAAAGTTCTGTGTAACTGGTTAGCTCCTATATGCCAGTTACGCTGTAAGCTTTTTGATCTCAAGAATTCTGACCTTTTAAAATATTCCTTTTGATGAAGTGCTAACAACTATCTGAAACAGGCCTTTTCAGTGTTGTGTAGATCTAATTATGTTCATATACCCTTGGAACCTCTATCCATCCACTGGTTCTAGTTATGCTTTTCTATGTAAGGCAACATTCATGTAGCTGGATTAAATATCTAATACGTATTATCCACAAGGAGCTCTCTGGTTTTATTTTTAAATACAAGGTACTGAGAACTACATATAATACTTCAGATATAGCATAACCATTTAATTCATTCTAAAGTATTTATTTATCAATTTAATTAATTTAGACAGGGTCACCCTATGTCATGATCCTCCTACCTCAGTCTCCTGAGTAGCTAGGACTTCAGGCATGTGACAATGTGCTGGCTTTAGGGTGGACCAGGAATCGAATTTGGACCTCCCACGTGGCCTCAGCCTCCAAGTAGTAGCATGTAATAGCACATGCTACTGCAGGCTGGGTCTACAAATATTTATTGAGGACTTGCTATTGCCAATACTGGTTTTGAAACACTGCATTATTATCAACAGTGAGTCTGTAAACTATTCTTGGACTAAAGCAGCCTAAGATTTCAGTTTTAGCAGTAAGAGCATAGAGATGTCTCATTAGGTTTCTAATGAAGTAAAATCTTCCAGTCTCTTTTTGTTGTCAAGCTCAGTCACCTTCAAGTTGTAGTATGATTCTGTCCCACTTCCTACTTCCACCTCTACCTCTATTAGCTGTAATATAAAATACATGATTTTATCGATTTTGACTCAGTGCTTATCTTCTGAATATAATTACTGTCTCCAATATATTAGCTAACCCACCAAATTTTGAAATCTGAGATTCATGCTCGAGTGTCCTTCACTTAAATCAACATTTCTCAGTCTTTGCACTACTGATATTTTAGACTGGATAATTCTTTGTTCTGGAAGGCTATTCTGTGACTGTGGAATGTTTACCAGTTTCCCTCTGGCTTTTATACACTTTTATATACCAGATGCCAGCAGTACACCCCTCCCTCTACCTACCCAACGGTGACAACCAAGAATGTCTCCATACATTGCCAAATGTCCCTAAAGGGCAAAAGTGCCCAGGTTGAGAACCACTGATTTTAATCACAGCACTAGAGAACTAGCTTAGGCAGACACAAGTCATCTCCACAACTGGCAGCCATAGTTCAAGCTTTATCATCTTCAACTTAAACTAGTTTAATGATCCCAAACCTGCTTACTCTGACTGATTATCAAATGGCCCTTAAATCTAGCTCCCTCACATTACTGTCAATGCTTCTAAAATGCAAAATTTGATTTGAACACTTTCAACAGGCTCACTTTTGCCCTCAAAAACAAGCTACTTAATAAGCAAACATGATTCAATACCTGTCAAATTTTACAGCCTTGTCGTATTTTCCTACCTTCTAGTTATAAGAACAAAACAAAACAAAAAAATGTGCTTTATGTTGCTCTTCCATACTGCTATGCCCTTAATACCATGACTTTAGAACAATGACTGCCAAGCCCCTCTAGCCTTCAGAAGATTTCAATACCACCTTTATACAAGTCTCCCCGGTCCTGGACTAACATTCATTCGTTCAGGCAATACAATACTTACTGATTTTGTACTATGACAAGCTCTGAGAACATTGCAATGAACAAAGTCCTAACCTTCAACTTTATAGTGGGGGATGTGGGACATGTGGATGTGTATGTACATCCACACACAACTTCAGAAAGCCATAAGTGCTATGATGAAAATGGAGCAAGTTAAGGGGATAGGGAAAAATGAAGGGGAACAGCAGTTTTGGAGGTTGGAGACAGTTGAGCCAATGACCTGGGGGAAAAAGAAGGTAAAAAGATCCTAAGGTGGTGGCCAGCAAGTGGTGTGGTGGTTAATGTGCTGGATTCCCACATAGATAATTGTGGTTTGAGTCTCAGGCTCAGCATCTTGAAAATCACAACAAATACATGAATAAATAGTTTATTAAACAAAAAAGATCCTATGGTAAGAATGAGCTTGGTAGTTTTGAGGCAGGCCAGGTTAGAGAATGAGCTAAAAAGAAAATGGAAGGAGATGGAATCAAGAGGTAGAATGGACTTTGGAATTATGCTAAATTTGGGTTTCATTTCATGTGGGATGGGGAGCCCTGAAAGGTTTTGTGAAGAACAACTGAGTTTTGCTATTGGGCATGTGTGTTTACCAGATAGAGACAGAGAGAAGAAAAGTGAGAAATCATCCTCTAGAGAGGGTGGCCATGCTGCAATCCCTTTTCCATTCTCCTCTCAGGATTTTGGGCACACAGGCACAGTACCTGATGTGTCTTTCCAAGTGGCTAGATCCTGGACTCAAACCACTCATGTGGGCTTAGTTGGCCAGCTACCTTAACCTCCATTACACCTGCTGGCCCCAAGTAATTTTAACAGTAACAGCTGCTAGCTTTTATTAAGCACATACTACATACCAAGCACTGTTTTTAAGTTTTGGAGGAATTAAGTCTCTTAATTCTTTTTTATTTATTTATTTATTTATTTATTTTTTTGGAGAGATTTTCACTGTAGGGTGCGTGCGCTCGCCAGACAGAGAGAGACATAGAGACAGAAAGCGAGAAATCACCCCCCAGGGGGGATGGTCACGCCGCAATCCCTTCTCCTCCATTCTCCTCTCGGGATCTTGGGCACGCACGCACACGCGCCCGGCGTGAGTTTTAAGCCACCGGGTCCGGGACACGAACCGCGGTCGACTACGTGGGAGTCCAGCAACACAGCCATTACGCTAACTGCTGGTTCCCAAGTCTCTTAATTCTTATAACCATAACCTATTATCTTCACTGTGTGATGAACTTGAGGTCACACAGTAAGTGGAGAGGTCAGGTGTACCCTAGTCCAGCTTTGGAGACCTCACTCTAAAGTACTGGTCTATAGCTGCCTCCCCTCTTAGACCGTGTATGATGAAGGTTCGCACTTACCCTTTACTCATTCTTGTATCTTTGGTTAAGTGGGTGACAAGACAAACACAGAATTAAAACGAGTGACTTCTGCTTTGCCAGTAAAAAGGTAGGAATCTAGGAGCCAGACTGACAACATGCTTCACTGTTTTATTTAGCAAAATATGTTCTTGGGTATACACGCTAGTAACTAACTGCGGCTGTGGCAGCTTATCTAGTTGAAGGTCACAGGGAGAAGGGCGGGGCCTACAACACACCAAAACTAGTTCCTAGCTTAGTTGGAACACTAAATGACTTATGCCCCTGAAAGTCTCCGTCATAATGACACGACCAAGTTCCAGGCAGTTACAGGAACGAGTGTTTAAATGAGGGAAAAGCATCCCACAATTACCTGCAGAAAGGTCATCTCTGGCCTAAAGCCAAGGGGAAACTGAGAAATGAAACGAGGTGATAAACCGAGGACGAAGAGGAGCATTACACCCCTCACACTTACCCTGGACCTAGGAGGGCAGCGTTCTTCAGAGAGGGGGCTGCAGACACACAAGGCGCAGGTCAGCAAAGTCGAAATGAAATCTAGTTTGTCCCTTCCTCAGTGGCCCCTTCCCCGTGCGGCCACTCTCTAAAGCCACACACCTCTCTCGCCCGTCCCCTGAAACCCCGCGTTCCCTGTGACCTGCTAGAATCACTCCCCACTCAGGCCGAAACTCGCAGCCCCTGTCTCCACCCTCTTTCCTCCCTTGTGACCCCTAGACTCGTTTCCCAGGCCAGAGTCTACAGTCCTCACCCGCTGCAGCGGCAGAGAGTACCACCCGGGACAGCATAGTCAGCGAAGGTCCAGGCCGCGGACTTAGCGTCCCTGTGACCCCGACCACAGACTGCGTCGGGGGCAAAAGCAAGATGGCCGCTCACAGGTCTCGCGAGAACGGAACATGGTACGGCTTTTCCATCAACCTACTTCCAGACCTTTTTCCTCGCGAGAAGACGCACAGCGCTCTGAGAGCCTGTGGCAGAAGGGCGGCAGACGAAAAGCGGAATGGACTGTAGAAGCAATTCTCGCGAGAAGAGGAGTTGCTGTCGCCTCCTGAGAGGGGCGGATGCCTTAGAGGTGCACCACGTGGGAATTGGCGCTGGAGCTGACTCTCGGGCCGGGGTCCAGTCTGGATCTAGGTTGGAGTCGGAACAGCGGAGATGCGGAAGGAAACTCCACCTCCCTTAGTGCCCCCGGCGGCCCGCGAATGGAACCTTCCCCCTAATGCCCCCGCCTGTATGGAACGGCAGTTGGAGGCTGCGCGGTATCGGTCCGGTGAGCCGAGATCCCGGGCCTGGGAGCTCCCTCACCCCGGCCCAGGGTGCCCCTTCCAGCTCGCCCCCGCTCTGCATGCCATCCTGATCCCTGCCTTGCGTCGCCGAGCTGTCCCCACCCCTGCCCCGAGTTCCTGAGCTCAGTCCAGACCCAGCTCGCATGCTGTACCGTACGGTCACCATGGAGACGGGCCCTTACGCCACTCGCGCTGACAGCTTGTCCCCTCCGTAGATGGGGCGCTTCTGCTCGGGGCCTCCAGCCTCAGTGGCCGCTGCTGGGCCGGCTCTCTTTGGCTTTTCAAGGACCCTTGTGCTGCCCCCAACGAAGGCTTCTGCTCCGCCGGAGTCCAGACGGAGGCCGGAGTGGCTGACCACACTTGGGTGGGGGACAGAGGTATCTTAGTGGCTTCTGATTCAGGTGAGTGACTTTCCCCTGATCCCTCAGGTAAAGGCCTGGTGTCTCCTAGGCGCAGTCTTTACTGTTCCAAACTCTGCTTGGAGGAACCTGAGAGTGTTGGCCCCAAATGCAAACTCTTATGTTGGTGGGAAATACCCTTTTTTTCCAAGATTCTAAATTGCGTAGTGGAATTTTCTATAAAATCCATCACAAAATTAAAGAAACGGATTGGAACCATTTCTTTCTTCTTTAACCCCACTTCTAACCTCCTTAGCCTACTCTTTTTAAAGACTGTGCAAAGACATTTATTCAGGTAGTTCAGGAAATATTTACTAGGGTCCACGTGTTTGGGAAGGATTAACATCACTGAACTGTAGGCTGCCTGTACAGTTGTGGAGACTTCATCCGTGCCCCCAGGAAATGGATTTCCCAGTGTTCTCTCAGTGGAAGCACAATAATGGATTTTACAGGCTGTACCATCCTTCTCTGTTATTCTAGGAGCCTTCTCTACGTAGTTATCTGGGATGGTACTAGGAAAACAGTAATGCAGTGTAAAGCCAAATGGCCTGGGAGCTAGCTAAGCCCTATAGTGAATGAGTGATGTGGACTCTTTTTTTGTGGTAGTAAATTATTTTTGTAAGTTTAATGACAACTAATTGAATCTTAGAAATGAACTGCAGGTTTGGTATAATTCAAGCTCATGTTTCTCTTGCCCCTCTCACCCTGACCCCATCCTATTCTCAACAGGTGCTGTTGAATTGTGGGAGCTGGATGAGAACGAAACTCTTATTGTTAGCAAGTTCTGCAAGTATGAGCATGATGACATCGTGTCTACAGTCAGTGTCCTGAGCTCTGGCACGCAAGCTGTCAGTGGTAGCAAAGACTTCTGGTGGGTCCCTGTTTTCATCACTGCTGTCTCTATGTCTGCTTTGGGTGCTCTTACTATCCTGTTAATCTCATTAAGTAACATTTTGGGCTCATTGTATGACCCAGCAACTAATTATAGTATGTCCATAAGTGTCCGTATTGTTCTTTTTTTTGGAGACATTTTTGCTATAGGGCGTGTGCGCTTGCCAGACAGAGAGAGGCATAGAGACAGAAAGCGAGAAATCACCCCCCAGGGGGGATGGCCATGCCGCAATCACTTCTCCTCCATTCTCCTCTCAGGATCTTGGGCACGCACGCACACGCGCCCAGCATGAGTTCAAGCCATCAGGTCCAGGACTCGAACCATGGTCAACTACATGGGAGTCCAATGACATAGCCATTACGCTAACTGCTGGTCCCGTGTCTGTATTGTTCTATCAACCCCATTAAGTAACGTTTTAGACTTGGTATAAGAACCCAACCACTAATTATAGTATGTCCTTAAAGTTTCTGTAGAGATTTTACAATTCACCATAAATAGACCAGTAGCAGGATTCCAGGAAACAAAGACATGGGACATGGTTGAAGAAAGTTCTAATTTGAAAATGTTTTCATGTTGATAGTGGGAGTGCAAGATTAAGTGTCTGTTTCTTTTTGCTTCATAGCATCAAGGTTTGGGATCTTGCTCAGCAAACGGTACTGAATTCATACCGAGGTAAGTATTCTTTCCTTTTCAGTCCTGGTCTCAGCTATTTTGTTTTTAATCTTCCTCTTTGGGATGTTTGAACTTTTCATGGGAGGGCTGCAGTTTAATGTTCTTTTGCCTAATCGCTTTTTTCTAAAGCTATCATTAGGGTCCAATGTCCACCATTTGTCCTTTTCTCAGTTTCCCTATTTATTTTAACGGCCTCACAACTGTGGCTATACAGGACTCAGTCC